GCATGAAATCAGCACTTCCTCCTCTTCGGGTGTAATAAAATCAGGAATGTAGTAGACAGATGGGGGTGCCTAAAGAAAATCAAAAAATTGGATAAAAGTGACATTATGACAGAAGAGGCTCTCGTCAGAGTTGTAAACGACTATTCTATTTTCTAATAGAAAATCTAATTAGCATATAAAAAATGCATGAGAACCCATGGTCACGGTAAAGCATGGGGTCAAAATATATTTTTCAATGAAGCAAGTGGGAAACGTACTTTACTGGGGCAAGCGCTATACTCCTCAAGGCGATTTTTGTCGATTATAGCGAGGAGTATAGCGCCTGCCTGAATCATTCATCAAAGCAGTGGTATCAAGAAAAAAAGGAGATACGAAGTTAGCTAAAGAAAGCTTAGATCGAAAAGAATTTAGCATCTGATTATAATCTTTCAAGATTATCGAAGTGTGCGCATTCTCGCTTCCTAGAAAAGTCGAGCTTCTAGGTGGAAAAACATGAGTGGAGAAATGATCTTTTGCAAGACACATTACTAGTTTGAGTACACTCTCACATGTCACCCTCAGCATTTAAGTCAGAAAACTCAAAGAGACTTGATTGTGCTACATGTATGTATAATATCGCTTTGAAGGTTTCCATCTTGTTTCCGTTTTCTATAAATTTAATCAACGGAGGTATTCGAGAATAGATGACCGTGAAAGAGGAATTTGTGTTCTGCCTTTTTTTTGTAAGTTTCCCAAAATCGACGATTTCCTACAAAAGCTACTGCTAAATTTATCATCAGAATTTCTATTTCGACGTCGTTGATATTGGACCATAATACAGCATGACGAGTTGCAAAACACTACATGAGGTTAGCTGAGGACGACAGTTCATAAGTCAGTGCAAAAAGGCTGAGATTCAAAATGAACCACATTGAAAAGTTTTATCAAATGTTCGTCTTATCGCTGGCTTTGCGATACCCGACATACAAAATTTGGGCGGAATCTGAACAAAGGTAAAAATAAACTGCAGAATCCTACAAATAACTGGAGCTCTTCGGAAGATTTGATTTCAGTTGGTCAGAAAAGCAAGCAATGTTGCATGATTGCATCCTAGAATTTTCTCATTGCCAGTATGCAGCTATTCGGCAAGGTCTGACATCTACCCGGCACAGGTAGAAAAAACGAAAAGCTTCCAAAATAGCTTTACCTCTATCAATCTAGGCTTATGGCTCTTGCCTAAGCAAGTTCACGTTTTCCAAAACAATAAGATGATTTGAAACCACATAGCGGAAAATGCGAGTCATGTGATAGAAACTAGGTATGTAAAACCGTGCTTCTCTCAAATTGGAAAAATCACTAAAAAATTCTTTTGTTATTGATCCGGTTCGACATTCAGCTATCCATCGAGCTACATCCAAAAGCACGGATAAAAATTGGATGTACGAAAGTAACTTTTTGGTAACTAACGTCGCATTGCGAATTGTTTACTGAAACGACGCAAACACAACTTTCTTTATTTTCCTGACGACACTAAAATTACCAAGCTCTGCTAAATGCTTCAACCACATAATGCTACCACCCAGTCGATGAGCAAGCGCCCATGTTGCGTCTTGATGATGCATGTGCGCTTGACCTCGAATGTGACTGGCCATACAAATAGAAACCAGAGTGATGTACTATAGAATTCCGTGCTCAGCAACACAAAGGTTGCTGGGGAACGCAACTCAGTCATTTCGCTCTCCGATGCTACTTCTAATGGTCCACTAAAGCTTTCTCCTAATCGTGGGCGCCATATATTTAAACGTACTTTTCTTGCAGTTCAAGGCGTTTTTGTAGATCTCATTAAAAAGAACAAAATGGAACTGCGCAACACTACTATCTCAAAAAGGCCAAACAAACTTCGCGTTTCAGCAAAAGTGAAAGTGATGAAAGCTGTTCGTGACCTTCTCAGTCGTCTTCGTCTCTTGTAGTTTGAACATATTCATGCCAGTAAAAAAAAAGACTATTTCATTTATCTAATAGCACTAGCATTAATTAATGTTCATCTATTTCTGGTAAGCAGCGATTGTGGAACTTCTGTAGACCGTAAAAATGCATAAGGAAATATTATAATTTTCCACGAGTTAACACTTCTGATTATGAACTTGCAGTGTGGGTGTATTACAGCTTTTATCCAAAAGGAATTAAATAGTAAAGGGTAATCTTTTTATCAGAGGCAGAACGAGGGGCTCTGTAGAAAGATATCTCAATACGAGGTCCTTACTTTTTCGAAGATGGATAGCGAAATTTTTGGAAGTTAATAAGTGAGTCATAATGCAGAGCCGGGCACAGGTGGATTGAAAGCAAGTTGTATATCGTTTTTGGGACGAAAAGCAAGGGTGGTCTCCTTTTTGAAGTCGAAAATACGCAAAAAT